CAAAAAAAAAAAAAAAAAAAATAAATAAATAAATAAACATACCTTTTACCCATAAACAGACCTTCAAGTTAAGCCGATTTGGTTTCATAGCGGAGAGATATGTAATTTTGCAAAAGAAGACAAAGAAAGAAAGATGACCGATTTCGTTACAATTATTTAGATTTTAGTTAGAAATTAAATATGAAGAATGGGCCTTTACACATATTTACATGTAGAGATGAAAAGGTTATTCTCTAAGTTATATATTAGATCTTCATTTTCTTTAATTTACGTTTCAATTATTTAGATTTTAGTTAGAAATTAAATACCAAAAACAATTTTTGCACCAGTAAATCAAGTAAATAGTATTCGTAGCCATTTTAAAAAGAAAAAAATAAGAATCGATCAAAATTGGCCAAAGAAAAAAGAAGAAGAAACACCGAGAAGGAACCGAATAAAAGTAAAACATAGAGTGGAACAGAATAAAAGGAAAACACAAACGAAGAAGCACAAAGAGAAAGAAAAGAGAAGATCTATAAATGTTTAAACCGTTTTAAATTGTTTGTATGAAAATAATATTACAACAAACATATATAAATATTTGACTTTAATCATGCAAATTGTCTATTGTCCCCATGAAGTCTAACAGGTGGACCATTGTAAAAATTTATCGAAATAGTTTTGTAGAAAATTAAATTTGAAATTGATGGCATGGACTGACATTAGTTGACTTAGAGGACAAAATCAAACTTTCGATAAATTGGTGACACCAACATATGCTAATTACTTAAGTGGTCTTACTCTTGATATGGTTAGAAATTAATGTTTTGTACGATGACACGTGCCCTGTGATTCTACACGTGTCATATGCTTGATAGGTGTGAAATGTTTATAAAATGATATGACTATGATATGAAAATGAAATGATATGACTATGATATGTTTATGAAACGATACGATTATGATATGATTATAAAATGATATGACATATCAGATATGACTATGATATGTTTATGAAATGATATGATTATGAAATATCGGTGATGTATGTTAATGTTATGACACGTGTTATGATGTGACGTGTTGATGATCCGATATATTTTATGGTGTAACACGTTGGCGAAATAATACATGTTGTGACATGTTTTATGATATGATACGTGCATGATATGATATGATATATCGAAAGATATGTTATGTGCATGATATGACATAAGACCATGTATGATATGAATGATACGATACTCAACCTCGATACATGCCTTAGAGGCTATGTTCTGTTCATACATTGAGAAATATCCATTTTTTATGATGGTATGGATGCGTTCGTTATGGGCAGAAAAATGATCATTACATTTATCATAATGTTGTGATGGTCATTATTCCTACCGGGTGTCCAGCAATAGCTTCAGAGAATGCTAACCCGACTAGGAAAAAGGGGTCCATGAGTTGTGCGAACTGACTGATGAGCCCATACTCATATGTATAGGTCATGTGTAGAATCGTAAATACACATCCAATTACTCGTTTAGGATAGTCGCCTAAGAGAATACAGATTGAAAGGATAGGTCTTATTCATGATTGTATGTGTTTGCATCTAACCCCAATAGTGGGGTCATTTACTAAGTATTTCTTAAAATACTCGAGCCACGTGCTACTTTTATTTCTGGTAAAAGCAAGTCACCTCTGTACGGCGGACGAAAACATCGCAATTCGAGACTATGACACATG